TCCTCAGAGTCTGGAATTAAACACTCTGAAAATGTAACATTGAGATAGACCTTGAGAATAGAAACAGTGTTGCCCGTTCTGTTCTGTCTGTTCCGTTATGTAGATCGAAACCTTTCCTACAGCATTTTAAACATACTGTAGCCTCAATACTGTGTAATGCAGATTGGCATGGCAAATGTCCTGGAAAAAAAGGAAAGACTGTTTTCCAGGCTGGAAAATGGTTTGGAATTAACAGATTGTTTTGGAAAAGTTTTAAATATACATTGTTTGGCTTTTGTTTAAAATATGGTCATAAAAATCCCATAACGTGCAAAATACATTCCTTGTATATCTAATTTAAAATCTAAAGCTGCACTGCTGGCTGTTAAAACACCACTAGTATCACGTGATACACGAAGACTAGAGCAGCATCATGTCATCACGAAGGCCACACACCCTTTTGGGCACATTAGAAGAGAAACAGGAAAACGTAACGGGTTAACTAAAGCTTTCACACTGAGATTTTAGGCACATAAGATACTAAATATTCACTGTCAGTGTGGTAAATGATGCTAGTGACAGTTACTACTGATAACTAATGTTAGCTTGAGGGGGAGAGCAGCATCACAATGTCATCTAAACCTAAATCTTAGCTTGTAGATCAAACAGTTGACTATTAACAAGTTAGTTATTTTCAGACGACACTCAGCCTAATGATTCGATTACAGATACCCGGATTCAACGAAATATACATATTTGATTTGACTGAAGGGACATGACAGCGATCAGATCAACCTTAATTTATTAAGGTATTGTGAACATCCAGGTTCAGGCAAGGTCGCAAAATATTATTAGACATGGGTATGTCTATAAAACAAATGTTTATTTAACAAAAAATAAATGCATACAACCTTCTCAAAATTATAATGCAAACACTTGTCAAGTTGCATCGACATCTATATGATCTTCAGTTTTCTATCCCCCAAAAGGGGGTTCAACTTTGACATTTTGCAAATATCCGTCTGGTGTATTGACATAGACATACAGCTAGTTGGCAACAGCAGTGTCTAAAGAGCAAGTAAAGTTAGCAAGTGCCTGCAGTTTGTTTGTCCGCAAATGCTTAGTAAGTGTGTGTAAAGTCAAAATAGAGTCATGGAAATGGGATAAAATATTATGGAAAAGTTATGAAAAAGTTTTAAAAGTTCATTGTTACAGTGTAGCAAAGGAAGACATGCACAAAAAAAGATTCAGACTCAAGTCTGGACCTTAAAAATCTCTATTTTACATGTTGCAGGGCTGCACATACAATTAAAAAATGTGCAAATATGCAATGTTCTGTACTGAGTAAAGTCCAACATGGACTGAAACATTTGCACTTTTTACACTCTATGCATTTGCACAGTTTTTCACCATCTGTGCAGCCATGCAACATGTAAAATAGAGATTTTTGAAGTCCAGAATTGAGTCTGAATCTTTTTTTGTCCTTGCTACATTGTGACATTTCTTTGACTTCTACACCAGAAAAGATGACTAACACAGAACAGTTTATTAAGGCACCGCTCTTTCCATGCCTACCATATTTTCATTGTTAAAAATGTGTAGGAACCCTGGCCTTTTAAATATAAACTTTAGATTTGTTAAAATGAAAACGTTTTAGCTTTATCTCTTGTTCTTCATGTTGCTTATTTATTGTTTGTTTATTTGTATGCAGGAAGTGATTGGGAAGTCCGTGAAACAGGCTGTCTTTTTGCCCCTGTACACTGTGCCAGAGAGGTATGATCATGTATCTCTGTTATTAATCTGTATAATTTGAAATATAGATGAAATAATGTGATAAAAGTTGTATTTATTTGTCCATGTTCATTGTCTTTCCAGCTCTGAAAACACTCCACGACTCTTTGAACTCCCATCTTTGTACGTAAAACAAAAAACATCCAGGTGTATCCTAATGGTTTGTTCAGTAAGATGTTTGCATTTATGATTTTTCTTGATTTCTGCAGGTGGAATGATAAGAAAGCCAAAATGCACCATGTTGTGTTCTGCATGCCGGAGATTTCACCCTCCAAGCTTTACCTGTTACGAAAAGGAACTGACCCAAACAGGTACGTTTGTGTGATTGTGGGTGCATGTGTGAGTTTCTTTGTGTATTTAATCTGTTCGTAATTATATTTGTTTTGCTCGCACAGACATATCCCCAACAGTGTCATATCCATTGACCTCAGCCACCATCTTGACAATGCAGATGATGACAGTGCTGCAGTCCAGTAAGTGCCTCTCATGTCATTCCTACCAATTTATTTGTAAAACCAATATAAAATCAAAATCTTTCCTCAGCTATGAAGGTGTTGCTACCATCATTCTCATTTTCAGGCCTAATTACATATACAGCTGCCTGGATGCTCGTTTCTATGACGATGAAATGCTAACTGTGGTCTTGCAAGGATCAGAAGAAGAGAACAGAAAGCGTGTCCTGGCTCAGATTCCTCTTGCTTCCACCCTGAGCTGTGAGACTGAATTCAACTGGGAGCCTAACCAGAGGTGAGTTAGGATTAGCAGTGACTGGATTAAAAATATTTTTGAAACTTCAAACTTTAATATAATTTAGGCCATTCATAAAAAAAGTTGTAAAGTCCTGCTTCTTGTATAGAAGAACTATCTCAAAAATGAAATCAGTGCTCTCACACTCAGACTTGGAGAAAGTTATTCACGTACTAATTTTATCCAGACTAGACTACTGTAACCTCCTCCTCTGTGGCATCAACTAGGGGTCACTTTTTGCCTCCAACTTGTTCAGAGTGCAGCATCTAGGCTTCTTACTGGTTTTAACAGACGACATCACATCACCCCAGTCCTGACTTCTCTCCATTGGTTTCTTGTTCGTTATAGAATTGATTTTAACATTTTACTGATTGCTTTCAAAGTGGTTTATGTCAGGCCCCAAGCAGCTTGGCAGAAATGTTGACCCCATATGAGCCAGTTTGCAGCCTTAGATCCTCAGGTGGGACCATTCTGGCCACTCCAAAGTTAAGGCTTAAATCTAAAGGTGACCTTGCCTTTCGGCTTAGGAACGACCTACCTGACGAGATATGGCTCACAGAATCAGTGACTTCTTTTTGATCACTTCCTAAAATCCATCTTTATAGACTTGCTTTTATATGATCATATTTTTATGTCTTTTATTGGTTTTTATGTTCTCCTTTTATTGCTTTTACTTTTTGGGGGGAGGATTTCTTTATGTTGCCAATTTGCAACTTGCATTTTTGTCTTGTTTTAACTTTATGCTAACTTTACTTTAGTTTTGTCTCGCTTGTGTTTGGTAGGGCCATTCGGCTTTCCTTTGCTATATTGCTTTCTGAGTATCCTGTTTCTGTTTTGCTTTTTCTGTCAAAGCACTTTGTAACATCTGTTTTTAAAGGTGCTATGTTTATAAAATTATTATTATTATAGTTATTATTTTCCGAAGACAGCAGAGATGAGGAATAAAGATGTTGCATGTGACCAATGTTAGGCTGGACCAGCAGAGCAGTGCCATCCCGTGCCAGGGCCTGGTGTTGGGGAATCAGTGGCGTGAACTGGAAAACATGAAGGCTCAGTTTGTAGCTGTCAACGGAATCCGCAAAGTGGCCTGTGTGGTAAGACAAATTATACATCTTGAACTTCCCATTATATTTAGTGTGTGGGAATGTCAATTTGGGGTGTTATGTGTGAATGAACTGTACTGGAACATTCCTACATTTTGTTATAGAGATCAGTAAGGTCAAATGAAACCTTTTTTTTTCTGCCAGTGGACTGTCTCCTAATGTTTACTTTTTCTTTCCTGGCAGCTAAGTGCCAATCTCAGGCACATTCGTGTTTTTGAGATGGATGTAGAAGATGAAGATGATGAGGGAAATGAGTCGCAGAATGCCAGCGCTGACCAGGAGGGGCTGGACACAACTATGACCAGTGAGGGGCAGGGAGAGGAGAGCGTGGAGACTATAGATGAAGCTGGAGAACAAAGAGATGTGTTTAAAAAACCTGAGGAGCATCTGGAGTCAGAGGAAGCCCTGGAACTCTCTTGAGACTGTAATCACAGAAACAAGTGACATAAATATAAGATATAAATCCAGGTTTTGCTTGTTGAAAAAGATTCTTTTTTACAACATCCTGAAATACATGTAATGTTTGTATATGAAAATAAACAGGTTGTAGTGTTCATATTTGTTTAAGTAGTTTGTAACCTTGTTTTTTTCTTAGTTTAGTTTAGTTTAAATTAGAAGGGACAGTGCAAATTAATAAATACACATGGTATGACAATGCCAGAATTAGCCAAATTGCCATTTTTCATCTGTAATCCCTTGGCCAAGATGTTACAGAAGGCTTCCTAAAATACAACAAAGCAGGAAGAAAAAGAACAATAAAAAACAAACAAACAAAACAACACAAAATAAAGAAAAAGAAAACAAGGCATACAATTTACAAGACATCTTTGAACACATTGACAAGATATACTTTATTGAATCCTCTAGAGGGGAAATTCAAATATCACAGCAGCACAAGACAAAAACAAGATAAAAGGGGAAAAATATATAAGTAAATAAAAAGATAAAATAGAATAAAATTGCTACATCAAGATGAATAAAGTGACAAAATCACAAGAATACAATGATTTCTTTCGCCCTTTTTGATAGTACTGATACGTTTGAGTTATTTATCATTTATGTCACCATGCCATTCATTTTATATTTTCTTGTAGGAATGAATCAAGACTGCGTTCCTGTGAGTTATTGACGAAATTATTAGATTAAAAATATAATCAAGTCAAGAAATAGTCGAGTTATTTTATATTTTATTATTTGATTACCCAAATGCTGAATTTAATAATCATATTCCACTTTAAAGCGTGTGTAAAAACGACCTTTCCGTAGCGAAATAATGATAAACGCGTCTGTACCGGAGTAGTTATCCGTGCACGTGCAAATAGGTGTTGGTTACGTGCTCGCTCCCGACACTGTACGAAGTGACGTACGTTAGCCGCCGCCTGTTGGTCTTTCACAGTTGGTGACGAGTATTATGAAAATGGCCTCGACCCTGCCCGCAACCACGATTAACCGGAGAAGATGACGGTGTTGAGGTTTTTAAGTCAGTGTAACACCAAAGTGTCTTCTTTGAACACGTAGAGAACAGTGAAGTTAACAGAAACAAAGAGACTGTCGGCGGAGAAACGACTAGAAACACCACAGACCATCGCCTATTTTCGTAGGGCTGAGGAGCCGCTATGGAGGATATCAACTCAAATATCAACGCGGACTTGGAGGTGCGGAAGCTCCAGGACTTGGTGAAGAAACTCGAACAGCAAAATGAACAGCTTCGGAGTCGGTCGACGATGTTGTCCTCGTCCGGAGCGATGTCAGGGAACCACAGACCCCTCAGCGACGGATACGACTCGTCGTCTCTGACAGCGGGGATGGCAGCCGGTCTGGCCGGCTTCCCTGGGGTGGGGTTCGTCGGAACGGGAGGCTACGGTGGGCTGTTGGAGAATAACCGCTGTTTGAGCCCCAGACTGTCTTACGACGGAATCAGTTTCAGGAGGGCGTATGATTATGAGGGGGCATCGGCTGCCGCCTCTCTGCCGAGTATGAACTCACGTTATTCAGACATCGGGGTTTATTCAGACGAAGGGGAAACATCGATCCTAGACGAAGTGGAAATATTAGACCTCGAAGACATGGATTGTCTAAACGAAGACGAGGACAGCTGGTGAGTTGTCTTTGGGAGGTATCTTGCCTTTCCTGTCGTGTCTGTGTCTTCAGAGCTGGGTGACAGCTGCTCTACACGTTAGCCAACACGACAAACGTCTGGCATAAACATCCTCTTCATCTTCTCAGTAGTTTGCCTGAAATCTGAAGTCATCTGTGCTGAAGGAGTGTCATTGTGGATCACTGACTGAAGGGTGTTGTTTGGCAAGTCATGTGGGCGATGACAAGCCCATTCTCGGACTGTTATCATACTAGACATGCGTTGTCATACAAACAATGCCAAATCTCTACCCATTATCTCATACCTTGCGTAGAGTTTGGGCATTTTTTCCCGATACTGATCAAGCAGGCCTCTGAGGCTCTCAGCTGTCTGGACCGTGAAGTCCCCGATCATCTGTTGAACCGTTTTGTTGTTAATGATGTGTGGCAGATTGGCTTGGCTTGGCATGGCAGCGGTGGCAGGAGATCAGTGTGTACAGTCAAAAAAAAACTGAAAGTTGTTTTCCTGCCTAGCAGCCATGTGGGAGAGGTAGCCATGGTTATATTCCTCCTCTGAATTCCCTTCAGCACACCAGCTGGCACACAGCCACAAGTGCTCCGCAGCAAGTGAGACAGCAAGAGATGTGAAATAGGACTGTCATCCCATCATGGAGGAATAGATGTCAGTGTCAGAAAGCTGCTCATGAGCATTGTTTTTGTGGGGATTACAAACAATGGCTATTGATAGCATCCCTGGATAAGGATGACATCATGTTGGTCTGCTGTTATTCAGTGATGAAAAAGAGCAGTGCGTACAACTCCAAAAAAGGTGCACAGTGCTGACAAAGACAAAAAACAGACAGAGCACCATCACTCAAAGTAGTCTGCACTTATTTAATATGGGCAAAAACTGTGCCAGTGTTCCATCTGTTTTTTCTGCTGTTACATCAGCCTACATGTTCATCCACACTCGTGTTCTTAATCCTCTCCCTATACATTGTGTTTGTAATGTAACTGTGCTTTTAGGGTTAGGGGGCTTTGCATAGATACACTTTAGAAGTGTAATCCTTGAAACTCCAGAGTATGATTGGATTTGTGCTGCTGTCTGAATCTCGCCGCTCATCCCAACTCAAGGAAATCCCTCAAAGAGGCAGAGTTACACTCAGAAAAGAGTCTGTGTTACACGGCTGATGTCAGACATGGAGACTTGGTAGATGGGTTTACAGAGGGTCTAGAAATGGAGTAGTTATTTGTAAGGCATCAGCTACTGACTAGACATGAAGGTAATGATGTGCCGTCCTCAGAAGACTGTCCTTGTTCTCCATCCTGTTAGGATGGGTTTGTTTGATTGGCGTCTTCTATTATAATGACGCTATGATAAGCAACTTCAGGGCGTAGCTCCTGATGCAACTTAATGACAGTTACTAAAGTTAATACAAAGGTAGATCATAGTTGGTTGAAAGGAAAGCCAGCTCACAGCAGCTGAGAGCAATGAAAGAGGTCTGGCAGTCAGCACTTAGCAATATATCATCTGTGTAACAGTTGTAGGTGCATTGGTTTTAAAAAAAAAAAAAAAAAAAAAAAAGAGCAATGGCCCCTAAAAAATGAGAACATGTACCTAATACAGGCAGGCAAGGAACAGTGAAACTAACCCACTGGAATATGACATGTATGGTATAAAGAGAGTGGATATAGATGCTGCTTATCGGTATGCAAGTTCTTTCAGAGTTATAAGTGTTTACATTATTTGTTCCACCCATTTTCCTTATCATCAGAGCACATCAAGTCTTCCCTCAGTTGCTTGCAGCAGTGTGCCTGTGCCAGCTACTAAACCTTTTGACATCGGACTACTTTGAGACATTGCTCACTCATGCCCAAAGAGCCAGTCTCATTATGCCCTGGCTGTTTGTCTGCCCTTTGGATCAGATTGATATCTGGGATTACCCAGTAGTGCCCAGCTCTCGCCAGCTCTTGTCATAGACTCCTGTAATCCCTGAATTAGCATTTGACTGGATTTAAAACGCAGCCTGCTCCCACAGTGCTCTGCCTATCAATAGATGCTTGTCACACCCCAGCAACTGCATGTGGACATGACACATGTCATTGTGTCAGAGCAGTGAGTTCATGTATGGAGCAAGACGCGTGAAGTCAGAGAGTTGAGATTTACTATGTGCTGCACCAAATGTAAATGATAGTCATTGTGTTGATAAACGTTGAGAAGGTGCAGACCCAGATATCAGGCTTGTATTCCTCTGCACTAGTGCTCCTTTGCCTGTAATGTTTCTGCCTTCATCATAAAAGGCTTCCTCTATGGCTGCAACAGAGCTGACAGCTGCTGACAGATTTCTCTTCCTAGTGGAAGCCCTTCTGTTTTTTTCTCAGTGGTTAAGGACAAACACAAATTGTATTACCTCTGTAACCAACAAACAGGAAAGTAGTGGTAGATTCATTTAGCCTGTAGCCTTATTTTATACCTTTATGTCTTCCCTTCAGTATCAGGAGGGTTTGATAGTCTCAGTCAATACAGCTGACTATGCACTGAACCCAATGACTTTTCCAAAGAATTTGGGCCAGGGACAGTGGTTCATTCTTAACATTTGCTGCAGCAGGAGCTGACGGTTGCATTGTCCTCATTGCTATTGGAGACCCCAGAGACCGACCACATTTTTTTGCTAAGTTAACACATGCAACATGTTAACTGTAAGAGTGAGAATTATACTGACAAGCCTAAAAGGTATCTGCAGGTCACCTCTATGTAGATTTCAAATATTGACATAGAAATAGATTTCAAATATTGAAGTATGAAATTGATCTGAATAAAAGTAAATAGTGATTTTTAGAGTCGGCAAGCACAGCCACAAAAAAGCTTTCTGTCTGTCCGCCTTATCTGCCAATTACATTGCGGAATTCTGTGATTACTTGTTATCCCCCCGATCTCATTTCCTCTGAGAGCTGCTGGGTCACATCACATATGAGCCGAGATAGGTGTGAGCTGTCCTAGTCGATCACTGTTAAAGAGAGATGACAGTTTATATTTCTGTAACGATTGCTTGTTTTGCTTTTGTGAACATGCGATATAAGTGTCAATTGTGTATGCTGTCCACATTTTTCCAGGCTGTACGAGGCAAAAGTGAACAGTCCCCTGCAAAAAGCCTTGAGTCCTATTGTGTGGTGCCGCAAAGCCCTTGACAACCCCAGTCCTGAGATGGAATCAGCCAAGCGCTCACTCATCCACAGACTGGACCTCACCATGTCAGGTAAACAACGGCAGTGGACATGAAACATGTAGTCTTAACTTAGCAGCCGTAGTAGAAACAGTAACAACTTCAGAGATACACTTAATTTATCCCTCTCTTTGGAAGGTAGAGGTGAGCTACAAAACAGCACTAGTGGAGTTCTTTGTGTTGGTTGCTCTGTTGAAAGTCCTCCTGCGTCAGTCTCTTGCTGTCAGTTTCCATTTTTCTCATCGCATAACATTAGTGATTAGAGCCCTTCATGTGAATCATAAAAGCAATTAAAGTTCACTTTGAATCTACTTGTAGTCAGGTAAAAGACTGCAAGTATAATGAAAGAGCAGTGATTTTTCCATAGCTGCTAGAAAGCTGTTTGTTATTGAACACCCTGTCAGAATTTGAACTCAAATGGTGACATAATTTGCCGGGACAGTTGTAAATTATTCTTGTATATCAGGCAAATGCAGAGTCAGACCTACACCAAGGCCAAACGTCCAGCCTTCTGTGATGTGCAAAACTGCAAGCACAACCAATAACTCTGGTTAAGGTAATTGCAGACGGTTCACATTTGTAAGAAAGGGTATAATTATTTGCATGATTTATGTGTATTCATGTTTCCATAGCCACTACTTAATTTGAGAAAAAAGCATTGTTGACATTGTGGTGGTGTTACTCTTGCACCGGTTCTCCCGTGAAACCAGTGTCCCCAAGTGCTCCATAACAACTGCTGTCTGTGTGAAGTTTTGCAACTTCAGGCTGCCTGAGAGGATTACTGGTATGCATCAGTGTGCACTGTGATATGGAGTCATTTTATTTCTATATTTGTTTTGTTACTGTTGAACTTTGCTATCATCTACTGGATTTTAAAGGTCCAGTGTGTAGGATTTAGGGACATCTGTTGGCAGAAATAGTATATAATATTCAAAATTATGTTTTAATTACTTTATAATCACATCAAAATAAGAATCATTTTGTTTTCGTTAACTTAATATGAGCTGTTTTTATCGAAATACAGAGCAGGTCCTCCCCCAAGAGTCCACCATGTTGTTCTACAGAAGCTCAGAATGCAGTGACACTCGAGATAGGGCTGCTCACATTTTTGTGTTTTAGCATTCTCGCATCAGCCACCGTAGTTCCCCAACATGCTTAGCATACGGAAGAAGTTTCAGTTCTGCAACCTCATCACTAGATGCAACAAATCATACACACTACACCTTAAAGACGTATGGCATTTATTCCGTTGAGGCAAAATGCCAAATCTCACAGTGTTAACAACAGTGAAAAAACAATTCCTGTATCCAGCTTGTGAGTTGGATCCACTCCAAAATTTAATGGGTTCTACCTTGGCTCATGCTACACACTTCAAACAAGTAACGTGAAAATCTGGTCAGTTGTTTTTCCTGTAATCCTGCTGAAAATCAGTCAAACAAACCAAACCAAAGCTATAACCTCCTTGGTGGGGGTAATAATTATTGATCCACAAAGGTAGAGGTTGTACACAAATACAGAATTGTCCCTTCCTGCTGGCTGATAACCAGGGGCCGTAAATGCTGTGATGATTCCTCTTATCGTAATAAATTATATAAGAGCTTTAATTTATGGCAGTGAGCCTCTGTAATGATCTTACTATTTCCTTTTATTGATTTTTGTAGCACAAGAAAACACAATAAATTACTCCATGTTTACCCATTTATTTCTACAACTACTATTATAACTGCTACACACAAACAGAGCACAGAGGGATGTATCATCTATCATAAATGTTCCATTGTGAAGATTAGCTTCCCTTATTCTAAAGGGAAGAGGAACAGCACTCGTGTACCTGTATGGTCAATCGCTGAATGGTGGAGGCTAGGGCTGCCACTAACGATTATTTTCATTGTCGACTAAACTGTTGATTATTTCTTCGATTAGTCGACTAATTGTTTCATTGAAAAATGTGTTAAAATGTTGAAAAATGTCGGTCTGTCTCGCCCAAACCCCAAAATTATGTCATTTAATGTCTTGTTTTGTACTCACGCCAAAGGGTTTTAGTTCACTGTCAAGGGAGAGTGTGTAAAGCTGCCAATATCTGAACGTAAGAAGCTGCAGTAAGAGTATTTTGGGGCACTTTCATAGAACTTTTCTATGAAAAATGACTCAAACCGATTAGTTGACTACTAAAATAGTCACCGATTATTTTAATAGAAATAAATCAGTGGCACATTGACTTGGAGATTTATCACCACTTGTGGTTATAAGTTACTGAAAGCTGAGCGGGTTTGTGAGGAATATATGTGTGCATGTTTTGGGAGTCTCCTTCCTGAGATATAGGCTTGAATGTGCAGCAAATGATTGACAGACACTCAAAGCTATGCACATCATCAGGCTTTTGGAGTGTTTGTAGTGTAAAGGGGAATTATTCTTTTGTTACTCCTTTGCAGCAGTGCTTGTTAAAAATGATGTTTAATTTATATTTCACCACTGGGTCTGCAAAATATTTATAATTTTGTCCCATATGATCTCACCTAGGTGAGACCTATGTACAGTATTTATTTATTTATATTTACATCTGTCAAAGTCTTTCCTTTTTCCAGTGCACTTTCTCCTCAAAAATTGACGGTATATAGAGATGGTGGAACTAACAATCTTAAACTGGTCTGTGTTGAAGGATCTTATAGCACCAGAATGCAGTTAAACTAGTGCTATAACTGAAACACATCAACTCTCTGATAGTTTGATCAGTGTCTGAATGACATCTGGACCCCTCAGTGTTTAGTTGGAGCTGTGTAGTGCTGCTGTTCAGGTTTAAAATATAAATGTCACTGGAGTTTTAATTAAGTTTCACTGTCCTTTACACTGAGAATTCAACATTGTATACAGTATAAAACACACATAACAAAACAATGATTTCATCTTTAATATGTTACCCAGGTCTACTTTATGTTTGGGCCTCTCTGATTGGTCTGTGTCTGTTTTCTGAGCCTTTGACTGCCACTAATTATAGGTAGTCCCTAACTGAGGAGGACAGCAGGTCTCAAATCCTCGCAGCTAAACTGAGCAGGGGTCATTTCCATTTTGACAGCGGTATGCCCATGTGACAGTTGGATCGTGTTGAGCAATAGGCTGCTGAAGGTTGTCCACTGGAAGAGTTGTGATCTTCTCTGCTCTATTATGCAAGAGCTTGAATGGCACCTGGACACACAACGACCTCCTCATTCAAGGACACTAAGGTATATTTATAATGGCTGATAAATTGATTGACTGTGGCCCTTTTGTGGATCCAAATTGCACAGCTTTTTTCAAAGATCAGTTATGTTTACTGGGTGTCTGATTAGGGATAAAGCTGAGAAAAGAGGGAAAAGGCTGTTTTGGGCTAATTGATGATCAATCTCTTTAAAAAAGGAATCAGTAATGCAACTTTCATCAAAACACAGAAATAATAATTTCTTTCTCCTTTCCCTCTGTTATGACTACTATGGGCTTTTTCTGTGCTTTTAGGTAAGGCTTATTTCTGAGGCACAACATAATAAAAATTAGGCTTCAGAACCTTTGTGTAAATAAAGCCTTAGATGACCCTTAGTGAACAAAGCGTGCTATCTGTCTTGCAGCTGACCAACTATAGATAACTAGACACTTGAGTGGGATTTAGGGTCGTGTGCTTATTTGTGGTGATCTCATCACTGTAGGTGTGGTAGGAGGATAACGTCATCCTCCATGGTCCTGAAAATATCCCTCCTGTCACTGATACCAACCACCCCACTCCCTTCACCTCTATCCTCAATTGGCACTGATGTTGTCACCACTTCCACAAAGGCTTGCTAAAAGACACCAGCAACACATATTTTCTGTGGAGTTTTGTGATTCGATGGACATGTCAATTAAATCAGATAAACGTCAAGAACGTAAAGATTTTTGAAAGAAAGAAAAAAGTCTGCACACAAAGCAGATCTTAAGCAGCACAGTCTGAGAGCATTTGTGTCTGTGAGTGAAAGAGACTCACCACAGACACACCCTCATGGCTCCCGGCTACTCTCCTTCACACCCGGTCTCTAACAGGAGCATGGAAACCCTGTTGCCATGGAGTTGGTTGAGTTTGTGTCAAAGGAATTACAAAGAAAAAAAGAAACATCTCAACCTCACTTGTGGAAGATTGGAGTCAAAGTGACGACTTCCTTATACCTGAAAATGTTTGTTTCAATCTAACCAGCTCAATCAGCAAGTATACACACTACAGTGCATCCACATATTTTAAACACGTTAGTTTAAGTGTGTCAGTAGTGACCAAGCCTTTTGTCTCTGTGCACACCCTGTTTAAATCATATCCCCAGATGACATGCCTCAGTTATATAACTAAGAGCAGGGAGGAGATGGCTTTGAGTTGCACTAGTCAGACAGCACTACTTTACTCATGTCATCCCGGTAAGAAGTCAGAACACATGTTGCCTAAGCTGAACAATTAAACCGTTTTTTTTTTCATTCTGCTGCTTTGACAGCTGTCCTGCACTGTTGATCCAGTGCTCATGCAAGACCAGAGAGGTCCCAGCCACAGTTACATAGCTGACCTGCTCTTCTCCAACTCTCAAAAGCTTTGACCTCGTACTGTACATTTAGTTCACCGCCTTCTTGCGTGTCTCTGCCAGTTTGAACCTTTTTCTGCTGTATGGTATTCATCTCTCTTATTTACAAAAGCTTCTCTGTTTGCTCTTTTCTTGTGATATTCTTGAAGCTCCCTGCAGCTGTTTTAAGCCTAATGTCTTCTCTTTTTTATAACAAGTAGACCTCAGTGCCAAGTGTTGTCTTCCATTTCGTCTTCACCATTTAGGCCCTCCAGACCTTCATTTTATATTGTTGTGTACTGGCTTCCTTTAGGGGGTTTTTTTCTTGGCCCGTGGAAACTGCTCTGAATTTTCCGCAGTTGAAATGCCAAGACGGAAAGTCCTCTAATACAATTTCATATCACAGTAAATCGAAACTGTCACAGCAGTTCTTCTCTCTTCTTCTGACTTCTTGTTTTAGGACATGAGAATTTGAGGACAGTCTATTTTGGTTGGTCCCTGGGCTGTGGATCCCTTCAGACTGATCTGTGTCTTTTTTCGTTACAATGTGCCGCTCAAGTTGTTGTGATAGGACACGTTGTCATCTAATGACCTCCAAAGTCTGAGCCAGTTTAGACTGTTTAATGTCAAGGGAAATATTTTCTTAATCATAGCAAGTGTGACTCCTTTACCTCCATAGTGCACAGACACAAGGGATGATTCATGTTTGTAAGCACTCACAGGCATGTCGTTATGTTTGAGAGTACACAGTGGAGCTTGACAGGCACAGTTTAATCTTGACTCTTGATATTGGGGGTTAGTTTCACCAGGTGGACTGTATTAATCTGTTGACCTCTCTTTCTCAAATGGAAAACATTGGGTATCTTTTTTTTAAGTGCATAGCATACAGACCTACATGTTGCAGTGTTGTTGACATTCCTCAACAGCTGATCCGTGTGGATGGCAGCAGAGTGGACATGATGGTATTTCCTAAATAATGCAGCAGGACAGAGTGCAGAGCAGGAGGAGAGGGAGAAAGTGGAAGGAGCGATTGGAAAGAGGAGGCAGCTGATCTTAAAAGGCTTCCCCTTCAGTCACCACCCAGCTGTGTAAACACATCCAGTCAGAGAAAGAAAGAAACAGAGGGATGGATAAACAAGTGGACTCAGAGAGCTTGTTTAGACCTAGTCTTAACATGCATTTCTGTGATCCGAACACAAGTGGACAGCCGAGACACCTCGCTGTTCACACCTCTGCTTATTTTGCGTCTCCAGCTGACCATTTGTGTTCAGATTTTGTTACTGCCCCATGCTGAGTTATTATGTCCACACTTTTGCTAGCTGCTCTGTAGCATGCTTGCTAGTCATGTCAGTACAGCTGGAGATATTACTGTCTGCAGGATTCAAGACCTCTTTCCATAGAGCAAAACCTTGGATGGTCACGCAACATTTTGTCCAATTTGACTTTTGAGTTATAAAGCTTTTACCGCACCAAAACAACCACCAAGTCCTGTTTTGATAACGTAGTCCTTGTTTGGGACACATCGGGATGTATAAGTGTTTTTGGTTTTTTTTAGATATTTTTTTGGGGCATTTTTAGCCTTTAATGGATAGGACAGGCAAGTGTGAAAGGGGGAGAGAGAGAGGGAGTGACATGTAGCAAAGGGCCACAGGCTGGAGTTGAACCCGGGCTGCTGCGACAACAGCCTTGTACATGGGGCGCCTGCTCTACCACTAAGCCACAGACGCCCCGGGATGTATAAGTGTTGACACTACAAAAGATATGTAGTCAAATGCATCCCAGACCACCTCAGTCAGTGGTTAAAGTGATCGGATCACAATGAGTCTTGGTGGTTGTTTAGATATGTATGTAGCGCTGTCCCCTTGTAATCGGATCACCCTAAAATGTGTGTTAAATGTTAGTCTAAATAGGCTCAGAGACATCAACCATTCAAACCACCAACCTATCCCAGTGCACAACAGCCTGTGCAGAGTCTGATCTCATGACTGAGACCAGGGACTCTGTAGACTGGAGCCTTTGACTGCTGCTTCGTTGGATTTCACAGAGAATCGCATTGTTCTTTGTGCGTCTTTATTGAATGCCATGCATTGTTAAGTGTGTCTCCCCGCCTGATGATGTAGGAACTCTCTATCAGGCCCATACTCAGCATATGGTTGAAGAGACTCGACCAGACTGCCAGCACACTGTAGAGCTTTCATAAAGGTGCCGGCTATGAGCAGACACTGCTGGCGTTGTAAATACTGGAATGGGCAATAGCCTTTGTCTGGGTGTTTTATGGGTCACAGTGTATAGATGTAGTATGTTAACACACTGGGCACATGAAACAGTGGCGGTTAAGTTTTCAGAACTTGGTTCCTCCCCAAAAACGAAGCATCTTGACCTCTACATTTCACCCATCTGCTACCACTGACATTTTGTAGGCTGGTATTTTCCAGGGGCCAAATGCATAAAACTCTGTGCTGACTCACGACTAAAACTGTGTGTACGCACAAAGGCATTCTTTTTATCAGATTTATAAAGCCATGCATAAGCCTGATTCTGTTTTATAAATCTCGATTGTTGTGGCGATGGGCACGTTTACAAGCGTCATTTCCACACCCACTGTTCGCCATAATAGAAATGCCCTTAAACATACATTTGCATATTGATACTTGTGCACTTCCAACATTTATTAGACCTGTCAATGAGAAATAAAAGAGAGTGCCGTGTCACCCACTGTGTAGCATCAGCGAGGTTCTCCAACCAGAGCTGCTGTCATTAGGCGCAGCAGTGGCAGTTTGTTCGTACCACTAATTCATATTTCTGCAGAGCATCATCATGGTAAAATCTCAATCATCAGGATCATCAATGATTCATTCAGAATGCTTATGTTGAAACTGGCTTTACAAAGTACTTCACAGGAAAACATTAAACAATCACTAACAGGGAGATGAATGTAAATAGAAATAATGATGAAATTCATCTCTCATAATTAATTTGAAATTAACTTTATATTTGTGTCTTTGATTGACATTTGACAGAGTCTCTCAGTTAATATTAATGTCCTTATTACTCACAGCTGTCTCAGCTAAAACCATGCATAGACTTGGTCTAAAGAATGCGTGAAGTGCACACATTCTCACAACACATTCCTCCTTTATAAATACCAGTTTATGTGCGGGAAAAGGCGTACACATGGTTTTTGTGCATACACATCATTGATGCATATGGCCCCAGATGTTCATAAAGAATCACTATTTTGGGGACAGCCATACATTTTTACCTTTTGCTGATAGTTTTAACTCACTGTTATCGGAAACAAAATTGCACTAATCTGTGATAAAGTAGAGGTATAGCAGCATGAACAAAGAAATTATGTGACATTTCAGACATATATGCAATGATTCAGCATTGCTGCAACGGAATGAATAGACAAGTACTGATCAAATTAAGAGGTTACAATGTATTGCTTGATTTTGGTGTGTTCACCACTAACATTTCTTTGTCGCGTTTTCTGTTCAAAGCCAACAATGACTTGGTTTATCTTAGTAATCTTCTAAATTTCTTTGTGCAAAGTTTTGGTTGTGGATCTTCAGACTACATAACATTATTTTGTCTGCCCTAATGCAGAGTAATGTCAAAGAGTGAGCATCTACTGACTGATGTTTTGGTTCTGTTTGCAGCCAACAAGCGCAGGAGCCTGTATGGAAGCCCCTACAACCAGCAGGGCTATGGAAGCCCATATAGCACAAACGCAGCCAACAGCCCGTACAGCAGTGGCTTCAACTCCCCCTCCTCAACCCCCAGCAGAGTGCCCATTGTCAGACAGCAACTAATGCCCGGGAATGCAGGTATGTGTCTCTTTGTAGTTCACTAAGGCCCCGTTTTCCCTGCTGACAATGCCAGGCGCTCCTCCGCAAACGCCCAGCTGGAAGCCCTTGAGAGCACTTTGGTTGCATCTGGTTGCTATGATACAGAAAATCTGCGGAAGTAAACTTGTCAGTACAAGGTAGAGTACTTGTTTTGGATGAGAGTAAGGCTGAAGCACGCAGGGAGAAAGGACAGACCTGATGATCTGTGTGGGTTCATGAGAGGAAACATATATAAATATTTTATATAAATATTAGTATATTAACAGATTTTCCTCTGTTGTTGTTATTCAGCACTTGTGCATGTAAGATGTGATGGTTGTCTTCATGGTATGTGTCCCTCCTCCACTGTGACTGAACGTATGAAGTGACTGTGACGAGCGCAGTGTTTTTATCCACAGTTTAACATTTTTCAATTCTCAGCGCTCAGGGAAAAAAACCCAACCAGCAGCATTCAGAGCAGAATTCACACCCTGCATCTCATCATGCTGGTAGTGTTTGTAGCGCAGCGTAAATATGTGGCATTCCTATCACAAAGAATTTAAAAAATATACTGGCCCCAGGGAAAAAATCTCTTTGGTAGACTTGGCCCCTAACAATTACAGAGTATCTGTTGTTGGGTATGTGTCACTAAAGTGTTCCCAAATGGTTTTCTTGCCAGCACACCAGCGAAATGCAACAGCAGAGAGGAATCCTCCAGCTGTGAGCCCGCAGTCATCAGTGGACAGTGAACTGAGCACCTCAGAAATGGATGAGGACTCAGTGGGCTCCTCAAATACCTACAAACTCAATGATGTCACTGATGTCCAGATACTGGCACGCATGCAGGAAGAGAGTATGTACCTGCACCACTGTCATCTCCAGTAGTTTTCTGTGACCATACCACTTTGTTTATAGGGTGTTGTAACTGAGTGTATGCATGTTTGTCAGGTTTGAGACAAGATTACGCTGCAACAGCATCAAGGCGGAGCTCAGGTTCGTCCTGCCACTCATTGCGGCGCAGCACCTTCAGTGACCAGGAGCTGGATGCACACAGTTTGGAGGATGAAGAAGAGGCGGTGCACCCGGCCTTCCACCTGCCCTCCAACCGCTTCAGCCCCTCCCCTCGACACTCTCCCCGCGCCTCACCTAGGAATTCGCCCCGCTCTCGCTCCCCTGCCCGCTCTATCGAATACAGCCACAGCCGTGGCTCGCCTCAGCCCATCATTAGCCGCCTGCAGCAGCCTCGCCACTCGCTGCAGGGCCACGGGCACGACTTGCAGACCAATGTGGTGAAGAATGAAGGTAAACAGAGCCAGCAGAGGTTCAGGAAGTGCTGGACATAAGCTGTTCAATATGTGATTCAGGAAATTATTATTTTGCCTGATCTAACTCTCTACTATTGTTGCTGTTGTAGAAAAGCTGCGTCGTAGTCTTCCCAACCTCACACGCTCCTCAGCAGCGACAGCCCAGGCCCCAGAGCCCGTCAAGAACAGCCGCAGCTGTGAGTCCAACCTGCAAGTGCCAAACGGTGGCTCTCCTCGACACCAGAACCAGTCTGCTAGTGAGTATTGTGACAGACACATACAAAAACCTGTCATATTTGTATTTGAATCCGTTTTACTGCAAAACACAGAAACCCTTCAAAGTTATAAATTAATCTTTAGATTTCAGTAGCTTCCAGACTCAGATTGTCACATTCATTGTTGTTATCACTGTGTTGTCAGCTGACATTATATTAATATTTGTTTTGCTCTCCAAGTACACTGAACACTCAGAAACACGACAGGCTGTGTAATCTCTTGTTAGTCATTGTGCGAGTGGGAATTCTGTTAATCCTTCTGGCTGCACCTACACTACAAGGACTGTGCTGCTTTGTAGTGCCATGGCTTTGGCGTTTGGGGATCCTCTTTGTCTTTGATCATTTTCAGTTGTAATATCTTTTATTCACACGCCTCCTTCCTCTTATCACCCTGGCATAACTTTCACTTCAAAGAAACGCACTCATCCTTCAGAATTAGAGCATGGCGCCAGCAACACTGAGAATCTGGAGCGACTCTTGGTATCAGCGACACTATCATTGTTTTACATTTGTGTCCAAGGGTTTTATGTTCTTTGAGAGCTTGAGAATCCCACCTCTTCGGATTAAGACTATCCATTTGATGTAATCCTGTAATGGGAGATAAAGATAATGGTGTTGTCCTTAATCCAGAAACGGTAATCCTTCTCTTCCTAGGGACAGAGAGGACAGGGGTCAAAGAGCAGGTTTCAGCTGGTTAAACGTGTAGCGACTGCCTTTATCCTGTCCTAACCAGCCTCCTGAGGGGCAGGGTGTTCGTGTGGCTTGAGCCTTTGGACTTTTCATATGTTAAAGCTGATATTTGAAATTTACGGCGGAATCTTTCTTAATTTTTTGTTTGTATACTTCATCCAAAACAGATGTAATTCTTCAGCTGTCAGGTTTAATATCCTGATGATGAGTTTTTCTATCTGAGCTTTGGCTGCACTGGGCATGTGAGACACTTCCATCTCTGCCTCTTTCACTGACTTCTTCACTGTAAAGCATGTGTAACCAAAACCAGCCTCAATTTCTCTGTTTGTGCTGAGACTGGTTGATTGGCTGTTAAACCTGACGATGGCACTGGCACTTTGCTCTGTCTGCTGCCTGTGGATGTTTGACTGTAGAGCCCCCTAGTGGCCTCAAGTTGCATCGCAGGCTTCCACAGCCTTCATTGCCTCAACGGCACCCTTTTTATTTCTCCAGTAATGCTGTGATACTCAGGCAGAGTGAAGTCTGACTCCCATGCTGAAATTTCCCTTTTTTCCAGCAGCAGCTCAACTCCCGAGATACTCGACCCCTTCTCGCTCCTCCCCGAAACCTAAACAGCACCTCCAAAGTCCTACTGCCCTGAGAGGTAACGGCCTGTTCGTAAATCAGCTGGAGGCTGTGAAATTGATCTCACTCACAGTCATTTGCACAGTTTATGACATATTAAAGTTGCCTGTGTACTTAAGGCATAGACTGCTGATGCACATAGAGTGTATATGGTGAAAAGGCTATGTTCTATGGAGCTGAAATGGATTTGAAGAAGATGCGTTAATGCACTAGTTGCCAGCTTTGAGACTGTGAGGTAAATCTGTGTGCAGGTTTAGCCTCTGTTTTTGTTGCTTTCTTTGTGAGGAAAAAAGAAAGAAGTGGAGCAGGGTGGTTGTTGGCAGAGTTGAGCTTGAGTTTCTAACTCCTACGAGTATGCCATCATACTAAAAGGAGTTAACGTTCACAGTTTAAAGGAGCAGTGTGGAGGATTTAGCGGTATCTAGTGGTGAGGATTGCAGAATGCAACCAAACGTGAACTTCTGGTTAGGATTCCCTCAGTGTTCATTGTTCAGGAGGTTTTTACTTGGAGCCAAATTATCCACAGAGGTGTCCTTCTCTCCAAGACAAACAGACCAGGTTACTAAAAGCAGCCAAAACACTGAATAAAACAGTTTCACGTTACAAATCAGTGTTTCTCCAACGCTGTTCGGCTCGTTGCAGATAGTCCACTCGCTCAGCACCTACTCATGTGTGCTCTCCTTTTTTCTCTGACAACTTCAGATCCAGACTTTCAGGAGGTTTTTAATCGGGAACCAAATTATCCACAGTGGTCTCCTCCTCTCCAAAGCAAACAGACTGTTATTATAAACATGTGAAAACACCGAATGAGGCCGTTTCATATTGAAAATCAGTGTTTTTCCGATGCAGTTTGTGTTATCGCGGATAGGCCAATGTGAAAACCTTAATGGCCCTATCTAGAGCCAGTGTTTGGTTTGTCTGTTCTGGGCCTCTGCAAAAAAAAAAATGGTGGTACAGTATGGCGACTTCTGTGGACGAGGACCTGCTGCCTATGTAGGTATAAATGGCTCAATCTAAGGTAACAAAAACATGATGATACTTATTTCAGGTGATTATACACTAAAGAAAACATACTTATTATTTTATATTCTTTCTCTGCCAACGGAGTCCCCTAAATCCTACACACTGGACCTTTAAAGGTCAAAGCTAATTCACGAGGATTGTGTTGACATGTTGCTGTAAAAATCTAAAACCATTCATATCGGCTCAGAGTGTCAAAACAGTGATTCTGTGCTGTTGCTGGTCCATGGTTGACAGTCACATTACTTCAATAGAAAAGTGCCATTCATGTGTTTGTGCCTTGAGCTTAACTTCAATTACACCAAGATCTTTGCCCTTCCTGCTTTCCTTGCATCATTAACAAATAGCTTACACTGAGACATTCATGTTGTCTTCATTACATATCTGTGTACATGAAGTGCAAAAAACACATGAAGTGAAAAAGTTTTTCAACCTTATAAACTGCTTTTCATTGTTAGTCATCTGGACAGCCGTGTCATGCAGTGATATGTGGTGCTTATTTGCCAGACGAGAAAATAAAATCAGATAATTCTTTATTATTCCAAAAGTGAGGAAACTTACACTGTTACAGCAGAAAAGGGGTAAAAAAAACAGTAAAAAAAGCAACATATAATAAAAAGTTGGTAACTTTAAAAACCAACATTTTCCTATAAACAATCTGTATTAAGAGGCAAATAAATTGGTTGTCTGTGATAGTCCTAGCAGTCTGGTCTGACGAAGAGCACGCAGCTCGAAACGTACGTCACGGTGCAATAAATAAATTATATTTTTTTCTGCAAAGAGTCCTGCAGTGTTGCGAGTCATTCACCATTTTTTCATCTATGACTATCAGCTCAGCACCTGCCCTCCCACGGTGAGATGTGCGTGCCTTTGGTTTGATTTTTTAGTCCTAGCAGTGACAATGGCAGAATTTATTACTGAAGGGTGACCACATTATACATAATATTCTGTACTAGCAGAATATATTAAATATTTCATCCCCAAATTAGATGTCTCTAATTTGAAAACCTTCTCAAAAGTGATCAACATAAATATTTTGTCATGTTTATATATTTTTGCTGTATCACATTTTTGTTTAAAATGTTTATATTTTATACAGCTGCCAGTTTATTAGGTACACCTAGCTACAACTAATGCAGTCTAAGCAGTCCTACACTAAATTCTACCTTAATTAAGACTTGAACGTTCAGGTTTTGTTGAAAGTGTTTTGTAATAATTGAACTGTATCATCATTTAAGGGAGCTGCAGTTTGTGGTGATGTTGAACTGTACTGAGTAGGGCTGGGCAATACATTGATATTATATTGAAATAGTGATGTGAGACTAGATATCATCTTAGATTTTGGATATCCTAAGTGTTGTCCTCTGCTGGTTTTAAAGGCTTCAGTAATATAATTTTTTGCACTTACCTGACTATTCTAGCTGTTTATTTGCCTTTAAACACTTAGTCATTATATCCACTTTACTGGTGATTGTATATCAAAAATCTCATTGTGTAGGTATTAAGTGAAAGCGTCAATAGTTAACCCAACAATATATAAATCGAGATTTGATTTAATTAATTAATTTTTAAAAATTTTATATACCTCTGAGGGGAAATTACATTTTTTCACTCTGTTGTCATTAACACACAGGTCCATATACACACACATGCACAAACAGGACCTATACATGCACGAAGTGGAGAGATGTCAGAGTGAGGGGGCTGCCATGGACAGGTGCCACGAGCAGTTGGGGGGTTAGGTGCCTTGCTCAAGGGCACCTCAGCAGTGCCCAGGAGGTGAACTGGCACCTCTCCAGCCACCAGTCCACGCTCCATATTTGGTCCGGACGGGGACNGGTCATAAGGTTTAGGCAATAAAACAACATGGCTAGGGTTGGTGGTTGATGTCAGTAACATCAGTCAACTCACGTGACTAATAAATTAGATAACTAACAACTCGTGACAAAAATAACTCAACATTCACATTGGACACCAACACCAATCTCCTGGGTCAAAGTCCTGTGCTTGTTGGACCCATCCACCACTCCAACCTGCCAAGTGAACTGTCTCGCTCTTGATTAGGGCTGTTCTTGACTAAGAACTTTCCTAGTCGACCAATCGTTATCATTTAGGGCCATCAGTCGACTAGTCTCCTGCATGTTTACGATATTAATGTGATATTAAATGATATATTTTGGGCGGGGCAACACAATGGTTTGAGTTGAAGGTGTGAGAAAGAATAGTATCAGTAACATTGTTAACTCTGTGCTACATTACAGAGAAATACAAAACTGCACTAATGACCCTTCATTAATATAGGCCTATATTTTATCTACAAGTGCACGTCACACACTGAGCGAGCCACCTGTTAATGATGCTGTTGACAAAGCAGTAATGATTGTGCTAAGTGGCTAATGGGCATGTAGCTACTTCCATGATCCCACACTTTGGATTTCCTGCCTGACATGTTATTAACTAGCCTGTGGAATAACTGCAGGTACCAGCCCTGGAAATTAGGGGCCGTACGCATGCCACATCTTCAACCGAGTGGGTGAATTTTTATGTAACTCACTTGTTTTATTTAGTCTAAATATCGTCACCTTGGGCCACTTTTGGCTCCACAAATCCAAGATGTTGACAACCAAAATGCCAAGCTCAAGGTTTTGAAACAGGAGTCCACAAACCAATGGGTGATGTCACAGTGGCCACATCCGTGATTTATATACAGTTTATGGTTATTAAACACCAATCACAAATCATATCCTGGACTGTGTCTGTCTGTCTGTCCAGACGAGGCGGCTGATTGATTGCCTCAAAGCGGATTGCGTCTCTATCTGTTCAAGTGATCAAGCTGTGACTGCAATCTGTCAGGGTGTGATGATACAGATTAGAGTGAAAGACAAGTTAAGAAGATGAAGGTAATCAGTTTGGGAAGTGACAGATTTAAAGAACAGGATTAATACAATCTCAGATTACATGCTGCACTCTTAACGCTCGGCTAAGTCTCGCCAACTCAGAAACTTACAGATGAGGGGGAGCGAGGACGGCAAAGGGAGAGCGATGGATTTCTGCTGTCGGTGAATTGACGAATGATTGCTGTCTTTCAGGCATTTATGATTGCGGGTACTTTTGAAGCTTTGAAACACGGGTGAGCCGAGCCTGTGTCTGTGTGTGTGTGCATGTTCGCTCTGTGCGATGCTTCAGTGCTATCTAGGGATAACATGAGTGTGTCCAATAAGAGTGAGTGATCTTTTCTCAGGCACATTAAAGTATGAGTGCATGGTGTATGATACTACAGATGAGAGGGCTGGAATGAACAGTTTGGTACAACATCATCACACTCATACAGGGGATACACACGCAGGCTCACTGAACTTGCTTTGTGGTGCACGTCAGTCTGACTTTGTTAAAGCTGGTTTTGCTGTACTCAAAGATTGTGTAGCAGTTAAGACCCTGTGCCGGCCGGGGATTGAAATCCCGCCAGGACTCTCTGCTTTCAACATCCTGCTCTGCCTCCTTCCATCTCTCTGCTCTCCACATCTCCTTCTTTCTCAGTGTGTCCTCGCTATCGTTCCCAACTTCTATCCAGCCCTCTGTATGGCTGCATTAGTATGTATGGCCGTGTATCTCTGGGTTTAGAGGTTTATGTCTCCTAATAGACAGAGATTTGTCCTGTCACACCAACACCCACATACAGCTTAAAGAGAGAGAGACAGAGAGAAAACGACTCCCTCCTCTCTGTGTGCGGAGGGGAGAGAAAGAACATTTATGTTGCTGTCTTATCTCCAGAGAGAAAGGTTCCATTTCTGTACAGACAAATTATAAAGCATTCATTTGTGGCTTTCTCTTCTTTTCTCCCACGCTTTCCATCTTCGTCTATCCCCCTCTCCCGCTCTCTCGCAGCCTCTCTCTGCCCCTCTCTCTCCCTCTTTCACTCGCAGTGATTGGATTAAGACCAAAGAAGCAGAGTGAGGAGATGAAGAAGGGATGAGAGCTTATTAAGCATGTGAGAGGTGAGATGACATAAGGCTGTACGGGAAGAGATTGAGGAAGAGGTGTGCGTGACCGTGTGTGTGTGGGGGTGTGCGTGTACGGCACATTTCTGTATTTATCCTCGCAGAAGGTAGGGTGAGAAGAGGGAGGAAGTGAGGCGTTTAGCTGTGGAGCACTTTAATCAAGGGGCGAGCAATCCTGCATGACCCACTCTGTCATCCATTATTGATGCCTGCCTCAGCCAGGCTGATGAATCATTAAGCCACTCGTCAGGCCTGGGAATTCTGCCTCCTCCTCGGCCGATGACACTCATTTACATAAATCACACGCTGCTATTTTTCACATGCTCACACATAAACAAAAACACACACCCACATGCAGCCACGCACACAAAGTTCATAGATTTTGGCTTGCTTTGTGAAGTGTATGGCTCACACTTTTTCCCAGAGCTTTTCCAAAAACACACATTTCTGTCATACCTGGACGTTAACTCGAGCTTTAACTCGAGAATTTAGAACAAGGCTTATACTCTTCACGACAAGCACTTGGCAGCTGCAACACCTGCACACTCAGAGATGAAAGACAATATGTTCTGCATCCTCCAGACCTCACATTATGGTCGTTTCTCTTCACTAGACGATAGACGTGTTTTGCATATGTAATCCAAAGAATCACACACGCTAACGCATTGCTAACTTCACGTGTGGAGAGAAGAGAGTGAAACAGGGGGAATGACAGAGAGAGACACAAAAAGAGGCAGAGAGAAGGAGATCTTACAGAGTTTGTGTTTACAGTACTTCTTGCCTCTGGGTTTTATGGCAGAGGAAAAGTGGAGAATCTTAGAGAAATTGATGAATACCCATTCGATGCAGCGCACATGCACTCACACAATCCACCCACACGTTCCTTCTCATCTTTGTGGGGTTTCCCTTCCTCTCCTCTCTTCCCCTCCCCTGCTGCTGTTTCCATGTCTTCCCATTCAGTGTTGTGACTAATCCCGTACCACAGGGTAAGAATATACCTCACAGCAAGGGTAAGAAGGCCCCAAAGCAGATTCGTGCAGAAATGCACTAACACACTCACACCAAACATACATACACAAACAGACAGAGGGAACGGGCACCCTGCCCATATAAAGGAGGTAGCCAAGGCCTGGTGGCTGGTAGCTGGAGGCTGCTTGCAGACCACTGTGATCCTGCCATCCTGGCAGCGCGCAGCCAGGACATTTCTGCACAGCGCTAAGCTGAGCGCCTGGCATCTCCAATCTGCTAAACACAGGAATGCTGCTGCTCATGATAATTGCGGTGTGTTGTTCTCTGCATCTCGGCTGATGTGAAGGCTGGTTGGAGCAAACGGCATGAATTATTAGTGTCTGCATCATGGCTCTTGCTGCCGGTGGAGGTAAGTCTGATATAATTTGATGCATTGTTACTGATGCATGACTGACCCAGCGCTATCAGAATGTCCTAGTAGGTCCTATCTGCTTTGATAAATAAACATGAGTGCACACCAGAATGAACACACATGCAACCACGCACGATGTTATTGTAATACTACATGTATTTTTTGCTCCACTTGTGCTCTTGGTGGTTTTTTTTGTCTACCTTCCTGTATGTATGCTCATACAACCAGAGATATAATAAGGTAATACTTAAGTAATATCCATTTCATCCCCATGAATCTTTGACCCTAACAATGACCTTTTCCACCACTTGTTTTTCCCCAGGGCCATCTGTCAGAGGTCAAGGGGAAAGGTGAAAGGTCATGTACCTGAGACAGCAAAAACATGAAAGCCTTGCCTTGAGATTCAGTAATGCCCCACTGACATATAAATGCTTGCAATCAAATAATATCAGATCAAAGTACTGACTGAATGAGATTCTGAAAGTTCCTAAATGTACTTAAAGCTATAGTGTGTAACTTCTGTCGCCTCCCAGCGGATAATGCGTTATTACAACTAATAAGCCGGCGGCACTTCCATGTACACAGAGTAACACTTGCCAGCCGCCACACACCGTGTACACAGAGTAACACTCGCCAGTCGCCACACACCGTACACAGAGTAACACTTGCCTTTGTGGTAGGATCCACTTCTGAACCGTGTCTCGGCCACTTCTCCGCCATGTTGCTTTCTCTTTCTACCTGAGCTCTACCTCTTGCTATGACACTCTCCGCTCTTCCTCCCCCTCCCTTCTTGTTGTGAGGAAGCATTTTCTCTGCGCCAGCGCGGGAATGTCGCCGGTCGACACGCAAACTAAAAATGATATATATTGAAAAATACCGCGAGATGTTAGAGGAGCCGATTGGCTTAATCAGCATTGTGTCATCTCCTCTAGTAGTGGCTTGGGTGAAACGGACATTTACGGACCTGTAGAAGTTATACACTATAGCTTTAAATCACATACTATCCTGACTTTTAAATTACTTTGCATGACATACTATACTATGACTTTTAATGAATTATTTCATGACATGTACTATGACTTTTTAAAATGAAATTTTTAATGACATACTATAGTATGACTTTTTAATAAAAATTTTAATAACATACTATACTGCGACTTTTTGACACTCGTTTTTATGAAATACTATACTAAGACTTATTTTTTATTATTTTATGACTTCTAACTATGACTTTTAAAATGATTTTTTCATGACTTACTAGACTATGACATTTATATGAAAGTTTTGTATGACATGCTATTCTATGACAAATGATTTTTTTTTTTTGTTATGATATATCTTAACACAAGGTGGAGCAGTGTGGTTGTGTTGTGGCAGAGCTGAGTCTGAGATAACAACTCCCACAGGTATGCCACCAAACTGAAAGGCCATTCATGTAGCTGACTTTGGTGTTTTAAAAGATGAGTTCGGATTCACCAAAGTCACACAATAACGCAAACAATCTACAGATCAAGGTAGTGGTAGAGCAGCACCTGCTGTAAAGTAAAATTAATTTTTGTCAATGGAGTCTGGCTTCAAAGATAGAATACACAAGTTTCACTTTTAATTCAGTTCCCTGTGGAAAAGGACTGTCTGTATGGCAAATACTGAATATATATACACACAGCAGGATAAATGAGACTTGGATAATACTGCACAACTTTTGTTTGAGTTTGTTAACACATGTTTTGATGTAATTTTGCTGTTGTTAAATGTGGATTCTTATAAATTCATAATTCATTTACTGGAGATATGCAACAAAAAAGTCTTTCTCACAAATTCTGCATATCAGGGGGTGAGTATTGATGATGATAATGGTCATTTGGGAGGTTAAATATTTCCTTAAATAAATAAATATAGAATTGGGATAAATTAACTTCAATATTGTTTTTTTTTTTTTTTTTTTTTTTTTAATGTGTTACACTTCTTCAAGGAGTTTAGCGTTTAGTGTTTATGTTTGAGAGTCTTAATATATTCTATAAATTCACATGAAATCCAGTGAAATTGTGAGCAACTTTTGTTATTTTGCATTTACATGTGTAAAATTTACCGTATAGAATCAACAAGTTCACAATGCATTTTTTGATATTACTATTAGTTTAATTCAATGTATATAATCTTTCATTTGAGTAGAATAAATCCATGAACATATACAATGGTCAAACAAAAGTGTCAAAGATTCTGGTTAACCATTTTCAAAAATTATATTTGTTTTTAAATATGTAAGAATTTGAAGAAACAATTATTAGTTATACGGTGTAAAATATTGGTGTATACATCTTGCACTTGGATAATTAGTCTATATTGCTGTAGACAAAATTTAACCAACATATTCCCCTGAATATGCCCTTTCTCATCTCCTCAGATCTCTTCCTGTTCCTCGGACATATGGCAGCGGTGCAGGTGACAACTGGAGAGAAGGTTGTTACTGAATTGGGCCAGCAGGGGGCTCTCCAGTCAAACTATCAACACAAGGAGGCAGACATTACAATATGGCACTTTATCTACCTAGATACATTTTTCAGTGAAGAAAGAAAGAGAGAGACTATGTCCCAAAATATATACAATCCAGAATTTGAAAAAGGAGAGGACAGTGTCCACATCGCGTCAAAGAGGACCCCCCATCGTGTTCCTCTGTGGGGTCTGGCTCTGGAGGCGTCAGGCATATAGTGCAGACAGACAGCCCAGAAAATGCCAAAGAAACCAGCCCGACTCCAGCTCAGCCAGCAGAGGACACATCACCTGCCTTGGTTTGACTGCAATCATCTGTCAGACAGTCTATATCACTTCATTACCCAGCTTTCCTCCCACTCCTCTTCCTTGTTCCTTTTTCCACCTCCCTCAGGTTGAAATGTTTCCACGCATTTCTCTCTTTATGCTCTGTGTTTAACAGATGTTGGTGAGCGATCTCTATGATGATGCTGTGCAGGTGAAATGTCCCGTAATGTTAGAGAGTTGTTGATGTCTTGCAACAGTGAAAGCACCTCTGTGTGGGTATGACGTTTAAGAATCTTCTCCTCTTGTAAAATCAGCCAGAATGTATGCACAAGTTTGTTTTGGAAATTATTTATTCAAATTATTTAAAGAAAAACATATGTCCAAACATCCATATCAGTATTTTCTTTTAAGATTACAATTGTTAAAAATGTACATTTTTAAACCTCAACTGCAAGCTAAGTCTCCAAAGCCTTTTATTGTTTTCAAAGTGTCAAATCAGAGCTTGTGAGAAACCCGGGTGATTGATAACACCTCGGCCAAAGCCTCATTTCTGACTTGTACCACATTTTGCCAAGATTATACTTTTCCATTGAAGTGCTAAGATTGGTCAGTTTAAGAACAGCTTGACATCAGGTCTGAGTTATATCAGAAACAAAGAAACCTGAACTCAATAACATATTATGTCCCCGATCACCCATTCAGCCAGTTAAATCGAGAAAACTTTGATGTGGTCCATTAAATTCCCTCAACAGATTTCTGTCTGTGTCTATCATTCATGCCATGAAAAGAATATGGAACAATGTCTTGAGAACAAGTTGAATAAGTTTTCCTGGCTTTTACCTCTTGTGCTATAAAAACAAATCGAAAGGTGTGCCAGTGTTAGGGAAGCTGTTCTGGTAAATGGTGTGGTGGGTGTTATGAAACTAGTGCCTATAATTTAAAGTTTCACTTGAGTTTGAACATCGTGTTTTGTTTGTTTGTTTATCATTTTGTGCCAATTTCTGGTTTTGCCAATATTATTTGCAATTTTGCATCTCTGCTTGATTGATTTGCTTGCCTGTTTGTTTTGGGTTTTTTTGTAATTAAAATCAATACATTTATAATTGCTTTAAAAATGTTTAAAATGCGCCTTCATATTTATAACTAATTACTCATTCTGTAAATGAAACTATTTATTAAAGAGAGGTGCCTCTGTCAAAGCTCAGATTCAGTGGGAAGCTTGAACGAATGTTGCAAAAAGACATACCACACCTTTTGTGTGAAAGTTTTTGTTATTGAACTTTTTTTTTATATCCACAAACATGACATTCAGTTTCCCTGTGTAAAGTCACATTTCAAATAAAAGCTGAAAAGTCGTTTTCTTGTTTTGTTTTTGGAATCCTATGCTTACTTACAAATTGGTTTTGATTACTTTAAGACAACAGAAGCCTTAATGCATCAATTAAATCACTAAATATTTGAGTGACTGCAAATTCAATTCAAGCAGCAATCATTCTGTCAGTCAAAATTTGTGTTCACAAAGTCTAAGATAAGATAAAACTTTATTTGTGCCACACTTTCATGACACAGAAGCTCAAAGCACAGACAGAAAAAGGAGGGTGACGATGTAACTTGAATAAAATACAATTAAAGATTAAAAAATATAAAACGTGTATACAGTATATGTAAATATATATAAGTGTTTTGCAGCAGACATGACAGTGCTACATTATATCAGATGTTGCTGTTAAAGAGTCTGACAGCTGAATGAACTGCACAGTGCATGGACAGTCTCATGCAGGGAGTGAGAGGTGTTTTCCATGATGGATATCAGCTTGGCTAACATCCTCCTCTCACTCACCTCCTCGATGGTCTCCAGGACAGTCCAGGACCGAGCTGTCCCTCTGACTGTGAAACACTATACTATGACATTTTCTCATGATATACTATGACATGTTTTTGACATACTATACTATGACATTTTTCATGATATTTTGACGACATACTATACTATGACGTTTTTTATATTTTGACGACATACTATACTATGACATTTTTTATGATATTTTGACGATATACTATACTATAACTTTTTATGATATTTTGACAACATACTATGACATTTTTTATGATACTTGGACGACATACTATACTATGTCATTTTTTAAGGTATTTTGAGGACATACTATGTCATTTTTCATGATGTTTTGACGACATACTATACTATGATGTTTTTTACGATATTTTGACGACATACTATACTATGAATTTTTTTATGATATTTGGATGACATACTATACTATGACATTTTTTATGATATTTGGATGACATACTATACTATGATGTTTTTTATGATATTTTGACGACATACTATATTATGACATTTTTTATGATATTTGGATGACATACTATACTATGACGGTTTTATGATATTTTGACGAAATACTATACCATGACGTTTTTTATGATATTTTGACGACATACTATACTATGATGTTTTTTATGATATTTTGACGACATGCTATACTATGACGTTTTTTATAATATTTTGACGACATACTATACTATGACGTTTTTCATGATATTTGGACGACATACTATACTATGACATTTTTCATGATATTTGGATGACATACTATACTATGACGGTTTTTATGATATTTTGACGACATACTATACTATACTATGATGTTTTTTATGATATTTTGACAACATACTATATTATGACATTTTTTATGATATTTGGACGACATACTATACTATGACGTTTTTTATGATATTTTGACGACATACTATACTATGATGTTTTTTATGATATTTGGATGACATACTATACTATGACATTTTTCATGATATTTTGACGACATACTATACTATGACATTTTTTATGATATTTGGACGACATACTATATCATGACGTATTTTATTATATTTGGACGACATACTATACTGTGACGTTTTTTATGATATTTGGACAACATACTATACTATGACGTTTTTTATGATATTTTGACGACATACTATACTATGACATTTTTCATGATATTTGGACGACATACTATACTATGACGTTTTTTATGATATTTTGACAACATACTATACTATCACATTTTTCATGATATTTGGACGACATACTATACTATGACGGTTTTTATGATATTTTGACGACATACTATACTATACTATGATGTTTTTTATGATATTTTGACAACATACTATATTATGACATTTTTTATGATATTTGGACGACATACTATACTATGACGTTTTTTATGATATTTTGACGACATACTATACTATGATGTTTTTTATGATATTTGGATGACATACTATACTATGACATTTTTCATGATATTTTGACGACATACTATACTATGACATTTTTTATGATATTTGGACGACATACTATATCATGACGTATTTTATTATATTTGGACGACATACTATACTGTGACGTTTTTTATGATATTTGGACAACATACTATACTATGACGTTTTTTATGATATTTTGACGACATACTATACTATGACATTTTTCATGATATTTGGACGACATACTATACTATGACGTTTTTTATGATATTTTGACAACATACTATACTATCACATTTTTCATGATATTTGGACGACATACTATACTATGACGTTTTTCATGATATTTTGACGACATACTATACTATGATATTTTTTATGATATTTTGACAATATACTATACTATAACATTTTTCATGATATTTGGACGACATACTATACTATGACATTTTTTATGATATATGGATGACATACTATACTATGACGTTTTTATGATATTTTGATGACATATTATACTATGACGTTTTTTATGGTATTTTGACAACATACTATACTATTACTTTTTCAATGAAAAATTTCATGACAAATTATACTACGACTTTTATTTAATTAAATTTTTAACAAAATACTATACCCTTACTTTTGTAATGAAAATTTTGACAACATACTTTACAAGGACTTTTTAATGACATACTATACTATGACTTTTTTAATGACAATTTTGATGATATACTATGGCTTTTTTTAATGAATATTTAAATGACATATTATACTATGACTGTTTTTTATGAAACTTTATGTCATGCTATACCATTATCTCAAAATAAAAATTTTGTTGATCACTGCCCTGCAAAAAGGGCACATACTCAAATCTGTTGGGGGTGCGAATTAATCACAGCACTGGGAAATAACCTTTATTTATTTAACCAGGCAGGTCCTTTAAGAACAGTTCTTATTTACAAAGGAGGCCTGGCAAGAGCAAAGGCCTCTTGAGGGAAAAGGGTTAGGGGGCTGAAATAGAACAGGGTTAGATATAAAAACAGCATAACATATTAAAGGCAGTATGAAACACATATGTAGCACAGCACACACAAACACTCATGTAAATATCACCAGCACAAACGAACATCAGCGGCAAACGCAGCAGCAGACATGTGAGACAGCCTAAAGACAGCCGAAAACAGTACATATATAACCATCCTCAGCACAAGCCCTCAACATCGAGCAACAGAATACACAGTCACTTCACTTCTGTCACATCCAAAATATTTTATTCTTTCAGTCTGAGACTGGATGCAAAGGATACAAAGAACTCAATCCTTTCTACCTATGTGCTTTGTGACATTCACTGTCAGCATATGTGCTCCAGATTGCTTTGAGCTCACGCAGTCATTTTTGTATAAATGGACTTATAAGTTAGATTACTCAATCTACTGTTAAAGCTACTCTAGACATCCTGTCTGCCTATCTTTCACTTAGACAATTATATAAAACAGATGGAGTCAGAGTTCCATATTTGGGCAAAATGACCTGTAAGAGAGTGCAGCAGAAATGCATCTTCCCTCCCATGCTAGCACCCTCAAGCTGTTTTTGTTGTTGTTTTTAATTTAATAATTAGATGCATTTTACAGATTAAATTAAAACAGACACACCTAGTAAAAGTGACATCTCGTCAGTAACAGTGACAGACGGTCTACTTTATACTGTATCATACAGTTTGAGTGTCATATAGTGTGCAGCTTTTAAGAGGAAAGTGACATTATGTATTCTGTACACATAGTTGTTGCATTACGTACCTGGAGTCACCCATCGGTTAATGGGGGACACGGTGTGTCTCCAGGAAGGGGAGGACACAGATGAAAGCCTGAGTCACTGATGGGTTTTATCCTGTCCCTCTCTACCCTCATTCCCCTCAAGACATGTGATGTCAGTGCTTTTATTTTCCCTGGACACACATAGCTTCCTCAGAGTGTGGCACCCTCAGCTTGATGAGTTTCACTCAGAGGATCATATTCTGTGGGCTTCAGAGAGATTAGATATGTCAGTCAAATCTCAAACAGCCAGGTGCCTTAACACAGGCGAGGTGATGCTAGCAGCCAACTGTCACAGCGGCAGACCACAACATGTTACACATACCGTTTGTTTTCTGATCTACACAAGAGATAATAAGAAGAGATTAATACTGGGACACTATTTTAAGAAACTAACACAAACACAGTTATATTTCTTCCACAACCTTTAAATGCAAATACTGTACTTCTTATTACATCAGCTGCCATTACTTTGCAGATTCTTCTCTAACATCATGAATTATAACAATAATAAAAAACGACCCAACAATGAATCCAGAGGTCAGACTCAGGAACAGCTGCAGCAACAACAGAAACAGGCTCACGTGTTGGTGAGACTGTTAAACTATATTAACTCATATTTACCATTTATTAAACCAAACATGAGACCTGCGCACCATGAAGTTTGAGATGAGGAGGATGCGTAATGCGCTCACTTCATGAAAGAAACAGCAGCGCCAACAAAAGAAACGGGCGGGCAGATGTTCACAGTTTGCTGCACTAATATAAAGATCAGCACAGTTTTCATTCATGTAGGCCGTGCTTACTCAACCTCGACAAAGAGCTGCCTTTACTACAGCTTCCTTTTCATCTAGTAATTTCTACAGAAAATATGAGAGACAGGATGTAGACTTTGAGTTCAATTTCCCAAATGGAAAACTGTAAATTTGTAATAATTGTATTGATATTTTGGAGACCTTTCTCCTTATACGGAGCGGCACGCAGCATAAAAAGGGCAGCCTGGGCGTTATTGATTGGCCCACCCACTCTCGCAGAAGCTTAAGACCATATGCAGACTCCCCTCCAGCTATGTGCGTCTATCAGGGAGCCAATCCGTGGCACCAGTCTGGCTCAGTGAGTCGCTTTAAGACTATCAGTGTCATGGCACCATCACGTCCTCCGACTGCTGGATCTTCCGCTGTTTCTTATTAGTGACAGTGCGCCACTAGGGGAATCATTTTACGCACGAGCACCTACAGGCACAACCCGACTGTGGCAAGCCTCTGTCCTCCTGTTGCGCCATGGAGAACTCCAGCCTGATGGGTGGCGACGCGCAAAACGCTGGCTTGATAGACTTTCTCACGTCGGACACTTTAAAACAAGTTGTGGATTTCCCAGAGGACGCTGCCATGGCTGGATTAGTGGCCAGTAGTGCTGTCTTCCTCGAAGGCAGCACATTCAGGACTGCCGCTGGAGCTGAGTTTATGGCCGCTCCGCCGACGGAATCCCCTCACCTGATGCCTGCCTTTTGGGATTCTCCGCTCAGTCACGGAATCAATGTGTTTGTGGGACTTGTTCTGTGCTTCACCATGCTGGGGCTGGGCTGCACGGTGGAGGTTAACCAGCTTGGAGAGCATATCCGCAGACCCATCGGGGTGCTGCTGGCACTGGTGTGTCAGTTTGTTATCATGCCCTTGGTGGCCTTTCTGTTGGCTTTAGCTTTCTCTCTGGATGATGTGGCAGCGATGGCTGTTCTTCTCTGTGGGTGCTGCCCGGGAGGAAACTTATCAAATATCATGTCACTGCTGGTGCACGGGGAGATGAATCTCAGGTAGATATACTGTACTCGACATGTAATGAGTATCAAGTGAACCTTTAAAACGATTTCACAAGGTTGAACTATGTTTTGCAAAGATTATTCAGCAAATTACGCACTGAAATAACGCCGACTTTGGTAAATTTTACGCACGACTCTAATAGGTCCACACGCTTCCGTAAAGTCAATCAGATATTTTTGTTAGTCAAGTTAACCAAAACGATCCAACTCTGTAACCAAACACCACATTCGTGCTTTAACGCTGCGTCTTTCCTCTCCTCTCCCCAGCATCATCATGACCATATCATCCACTCTGCTGGCGCTCGTGCTGATGCCGCTGTGTCTGTGGATCTACAGCCGAGCCTGGATCAACACACCTGTGGTGAACCTCATGCCCTTCGGGGCCATCATCCTGACCCTGTGCAGCACTCTCATCCCTATTGGTTTGGGAGTTATGCTGAGATACCGCTACACGCGTGTGGCCGACATTGTTTTAAAGGTAATTTAAGAACAGTTTCCTTAAAGTTTCCACTTAAACAATGAGCTGAATCAGTTAAATAATTAACTTTTATGCCATTTATAAACTGAGAACTCTCCGTCAAGGAGCCACTTTTGCGCAAAAGCGCACTGCGTAATTTTCCTTGCCTTTCATAAGGGCTACGCTGACCGCAGGAACAGTGACATCAGAGACACTGTGTCCGGAAGAGCTCCTCCCTCCCATTTCTGATAAAAGCCACATATGAGGGAGGGCCACATCAGTTACAACAGACAGTAACATCAGGCAGCAGAGGTGCCTTGATGCGGATTCCAGCCCTGTGTAAAAAATGTCAATTTCAATTCCATAACTCAAAATCCCTGGTGCTCTCAGAGGGCGCAGTCTTGAAAACACCTGAGACCTTTTATCATTAAAGACCCTCAGGTCAGATAAGGGAAGCTAAAATACAAAAAATAAAAAAAAAGAGGAAAAAAGTGTAAAAGCTAGCAAGAAGGAATTCCTCCACCAAGATGGCAGATTATGCAAAGGGTGCTCTCTATGTTCAGAAAATCCCCCTCATCCTGAAATGTGTCTTTCCAGGCATCCCTGTGGTCTCTGCTGGTCACCCTTGTGATGCTCTTCATCCTGACCGGAGCGATGCTGGGGCCGGAGCTCCTGTCCACCATCCCACCCTCTGTCTACGTGGTGGCCATCCTGATGCCTCTGTGTGGCTATGCTGCAGGTTACGGCCTGGCCATGCTCTTCGAACTGCCGCCCAACAGCCGCAGGTCAGTCTCTCTGGAGACAGGATGCCAGAACGTGCAGCTGTGCACTGCCATCCTGAAGCTGGCCTTCCCTCCTCAGCTGATGGGAGGGATGTACATGTTCCCTCTGCTGTACGCCCTGTTCCAAGCAGCTGAGGCGGGCATTTTCATCCTGGCATACAGGATGTACAGGAAGAAGGTCCTGCACAAACCAGACCCCATGAAGGACAGCGAGGACACGGATATAACATACCAGAGGTTTCAGGATGATGAAGACATTAACACATCTTATGGTGCCGTGACAGTGTCTGACCCAAACACCATCATGCTGGACCCCTGTCCTCCTGATCCAACTCCTGTTTAATGTGCAAATGTTTAAAGTCACTTCTTCAGATGTAGGGGAGCAGAATAAAACCTGCACGTGGATTCCTCAGTTTGATCGCTGTCATTGAAAACCTGGGAGACTTTGCAGGGAAATCCAGAATGTTTATCACTGACCTGACTGCTGAAAAAAAAGGTGCTTTGTCATTTGCTTCATTCATTCAATTTGTCAAATTATGTCTAATATGGGATGAAAAAGCATCATAATGTTTTACATTATTGCATCAGCTAAAGCAAATCATGTCATCTACGCAAAACAGCATTTAGTTTCACAGATGGACAGTGCTTCAGTGTGTGTGAGTGGAAGAAAGAGATCTGACAAACATATCATGTTATTCATTGCAGTGCCAATCCAGTATGTGTGCTCCATAGACACAACTATGTCTGAACAAAATGTACAATATGTGTATATTATAAAGAGTTGCATCGAGACAATAAAACGTGTATAGAAACAAAAGTAAAACCTGCATACCTTCGTCACGTGTCTGCTGTTTTTGGGGAGAGAAAATGAAAGCAGTCTCACACCTGACCATAATTAGGCCTAATGGTGAGCTCATGTTGCCCAATCTACTTAAATAGCTACACCTACTAAGCTTGGTTGGTTGAACAAAATGGCAACGTATGGTGACGAGCCAGTCGACAGCTATTTCTATTCATCTTGCAACCCTTACACGGGCCGATACCCCCGGCCTAAAAACGCTGGGTGGAAGTATAAAAGTTACCTCTCCCACTACGGGGACGCTTCGGATGCCTTCAACAACCACCAGCGCGCGCAGCTCAAGTCCATCTTATCCCAAATCAATCCAAAACTCACCCCGAGGCTCATGAAGGCAAACACTAAAGATGTGGCGGTGCAGGTGAACCCGAAGAAAGACGCATCGGTGCAGTGCTCCATCGGCCCGCGCACCCTCCTGGCCATGAAGGTGGACTTTTGGCGCAGAAGAAAGCAGCAGGAGCCGCCCGGTAGTCCCAAGGCTGCGGACGGTGTGCGTTACCCTCGCACCCTCGCCGTGTACTCACCCATCGCCTACAGAAGCGTCACCTCCTTCCTGGCCGACGACAACAACAACAATGAAGCCTCCTCCGGTGAGACGCAGACCGGAAAGCCGCCCGGTGACCCGCCCGAGGCCGCGGTGACGAAGAGCAAAGACAAGCAGGCTGGTAAAGATGGGAAGACCGCAACGATCCCAGATCAGCGCAAAACACCCAAGACAAAACAACAGGAGGAGAGTGAAGAGGAACAGCTGATTACAGAGGGGTCAAAGGGCAAGGCGCGTGTGCGGTTCCAGGTGAGTTGCATCACGTGCTCAGGGAGGTCTTTTCACGTCCTTTAGCTTGTTTCAGGGGCGTTTGTAGGGACTGAGCACCCTGGGGCTCAGCCTGGACCTCTGGGGGAGCTCCAGAGGATCCTCCCCCAGATTTTAATTTTTTGATGAACAATCTCTATTTTGAGGTTTTTTAAATGCACCCTGGCACCTTTTTTATTTACCACTATTTTTTCTTACTTAACTTGCCCTTTTAAACCTTAAACCTCATGTTAAAAATTAGCAGTTGTTAGGTGCAAAGGCTCGATCAACGCTGCTTGCAGCTTTAATTTTGAATGAGATTATAAATGACAACTATACTATGACTTTTTCTGACATATTTTATGATGTGCTATACTACGGCTTTTTTAATCAAAAGTTGACTTTGTATTTTTTTAACGGCATACTATGACTTTTTTTTAAGCTTTTGATAACATGCTGTAGTATGACATATTTTTTTTTATGCCACACTGTGCTATTCCTTTTTGTTTTTATGACATACTAAGTTTTGAATAACATACTACAGTATGGCTTTTTGAATAAACTTTGATGAGTTGATGTCATGAGTCATGATATTATTCATGACATACTATGCTATGACTTCTTCAATGAAATTCCTAATGATGTAATATACTATGATATTTTTAATATTTTTTGTGACATACTTCACCATGACTCTTATTAATTTTTATATGCTACACTATTATTTTTTCTGAATTTTTTTTTATTGACTATACCATGATTTTTTTCTAATTTTTAATGACATACTATATGACATTTCTATTTTTTTCATGACCTGCTGTACTATGACTCTGACTATACTTTACTTTTTTATTAATTGTGAACTGTGGTGTTAAAAATCTTAGTAGTTGTTAGTAATAAGTTGATGGACAGGCGTGCAATAGAGGTCCTGTGCTCACAATATTTCACTTATCCACGTTTCACTTGCTGAAATGTTACCTCAAAGGTCCAGGGTGTAGAATTCAGTGGCATCCAGAGGAGAGGTTACAGAACTGAAATGTGTCCTGTGTGCCAAGCGTGTAGGAGAACTACAGTGGCCGTCACGATTGGCCCGATCTAGAGCCAGTGTTTTGGATTTGTCCATTCTGGGCTACTGTAGAACAACATGGCAGACTGTGAAAGAAGACCCTTTTGAGAACCTGCGTTTCCTATAGCTATTCAAAGACAGCTGGGGCGTGTTCTTTGGAACCATGGGAGCTTTGGGGTATTACACATATGCAATATAATGGAGGGCTACTGCAGACAGTGTAAGAAATAAGGCATGGTGTCATCAGGTGCTCTTTGGTTGCGCTGTTTTTAGCCTGTTTGTGTGCGTTTGGCCTGACAGAACTTTTTGGGCACACTCAATTGGATGGCTGCTGACATACAATAAACATTTGCCTATAGAAAGCATTTGTTTATGGTCTTTGTTACAGACTTTTTCATTAATTACAGAATTTGTAATTCTAACCCTTATCTTTATTTTACGTACAAAAATATTTCGACCCAAGGCTGACTGCAGGCAGTGCATGTGTTGTACCCCACTGCTATGACGTGATATGACGCCATGACTCACTTTTTAACCTCCTTGGCGTTTCTTAGGATATCGAAGGCATGACCTGCTCTACTTTGCCTTACTGTCTCTGACTGGCTTACCCTGTCATTTTTACTCTAGCCAATATCACTCATCCTGCTTGAGCCAATCAAACCAAAGGCAACAAGTGCTAGTCATTCATAGGGAATGGCTAGGAAACAGAAATTCACGACCATATGTATGATGTAGATATAAATGACTTATTATTTTCAGGTGAGTACACACTAAAGAAAACATAGTAAGGAATATTATATACAGTTTCTGCCAATAGATGCCCCTAAATCCTACACTCTGGGCCTTTTTGAAAACAAAGAAAATAAACTCAAGATACAACCATAAAGACGACAAACTGCATGTAGATTAGCCCCCATGGAAATAAAATATACAGATGTTATTTCTGTCAAAATGCACTTCCTATTTCAAAGCTATTCTCTCAAGCAAAGTTTGTAGGATAAAAATTCTAAAGGAAATTTCATCCTAAAATGGACTCAGAAGTTATGGAGAATATACAGGCATCTAGACATCCTCCTGATTCAGATACAGAAACCTTCCCTTCAAATACACTTTGATGAAAATTAATCTAATTTGGACAATGCCTTTAAAATTGTGTCAGTAATTCACTGCCAATGCCAGACTGAACAATATAAATTCCAGTCTTGACGCTATGGTTTACATCTCCATCTTTATTGTACAAATAACCTAAATCAGAAGCTAGAATAACATTTTACATTTAATCAGCATCATAATTTTAACCAGCCAAATGGTCAGCATCTGGATAGTATCTGCAAGCTTGGTGTGAGAGCTATGAAGAAACTAAAATTCTTAACAGAAGACTGTAAAGATGAACTGCACTTAAGTTGTTTTCCAGATTCGTCCACTAACACTGGGTGAATGATCTAACTGACTTGCCTTTTGTCCATCAGTTTCTGGAACAGAAGTATGGATATTATCACTGCAGAGAATGCAATCTACGATGGGAGAGTGCCTATGTGTGGTGCGTTCAGGGCACCAACAAGGTGAGCACTTCAGTCATTTGCCAATAAACCAGGGGGTCAACACTAAGGTTGCAACAGTATGAGATTTTCATGGTACGATTATCAATTTTGCATTTAAACTGTAATAATTTGAGTCATGACATAACATTTAATAGCTACAGTATTAGATGTCTGCCCTGATAGAAGTATGTTGTGTTCCAGGTTTACTTCAAACAGTACTGTAGGAAATGCCAAAAAGAATTCAACCCATACCGAGTTGAGGACATCACGTGTCACGTAAGCCCTGTCTAACTTGCTCTTTGAATTAAAATGTGCCATGTATGACCACCAAACCAAAGTCCTCCTCCTTTTCCAGACTTGCAACAAAGCACGCTGTTCCTGTGCAATAACACAACGCCACGTTGACCCCAAGCGGCCCCACAGACAGGACTTGTGCGGCAGATGCAAAGGCAAGCGGCTCTCCTGTGAAAGCACTTTCAGCTTCAAATACATCATCTAGGAAGCATCTCGACTGAACTCTGCCCTGTAAACACAGCAGTACAGTAACGTCCTGTGGGGGTGCACCTTCAACTCAGTGCCACCAGATTTGCAGATGCAATGATGGCACTTTGGATGCAAAACATATATTTGATGTTTCAAAACTTTATTTCGTGCCTGTTTTGTGTTGATGAAGTTAATGGTAAGCGCCATACAACTTACAATGTAATAAAGGGCTACCTTGCACTCAGTACTGAAGCATTCTTTTCATGCAAACTGATGTCCCGTTGGTAGTGAAAACTGAGGCAAAGAAACTAAAATATCAATGCTTGTAAGTGGTATTTAACTCAGCAACTGTCTCCTAGTTTAGGATTAAAGCTACAGCTGGTAACTTTAATGAAAATAACTTCAATATTTACTGAATATGTCGCGTTACCGAAAGAAGTCTTCTTACTGCTTCTAATGACATTTGCTAGAATCAACAATACGCTAAAATGTGTTTCTGAGAACATTTGAGACAAGAAATGGGTAATGCAGTAACAGAATCTTGATTTACATTTAATAGTGCTGCCCAGTTTGACACAGTTCAGTAACTGGCAGCTGTGTTAGACTCCTTAGCTCTGATTGGTTTTCGTTCACATGCAGTAAGCCCATTGGAAGCAATATGAGGCGGCAGAGGAACATGACTTTCTGTCTCACCTAGTGTAAATACTGTGAGTTTTAGCAAATATTAACTTTTTTTTATTAAGTTACCAACTGTAGCTTTAATAGCAGATGAAAAAAGATCAAGATTTAAGACTGCATGTACATGGGGTTTGAACTTAATTTAGCTGGAGCTGAAGCCCCGACAGTCCTGCACCTGTATCCTGCCTGTGGTGCGGGCAAAGTGGATCACCAAGAACAGACGGTGTATTTTTGCTCGACTAAATACTTGAGCTTTTCCTCATTTATCTGTACTTTGAATATAAGCAATGTTTAAGTAAATAGCGTTCCATTACAGATGATAACTCCATGTTTTGTGTGCATTAGGAAGTCTAATGGTGTCTTCCAAATACTCCCAAACTTCCATAAGAAAGCACTTCAACAGTCCTGCTGTAATCATCCATTATCTGTAAGCACTTAATCTATTTAGGACAGGACAGGTTGTCTATCATAGAGCTGACACACAGAGACCGATCACCATTCACACTACCTAAAAACTAAGTCTTTTGACTGTAGACGGAAGCCAGAGAAATACTGTAAACTCCACACAGAAGGGCCACAACTGGAACCCTCTTGCTGTGAGGTGACCTTTCCAACCACTGCTCCACTGTACCGCCCCCATTTTAATCATGTTTCCACATTTGTACTAATGACTTTAGACCAAGCTTGTACTGTATGATTAGGTTTTTATTTATCCAGAGAGAAGGCTGGTATGTGAGTGAACAAGAAAAAAAATGTATAATGCACCTCTACATTAAAACATCTTCCAGGTAAATAATATATTCATTAAATAATTAAGAACAGCATTCAAATGTACCAGACAAGCAGGAAAAAAAAAAAGCTCTCTGAGGAATGAGTACAGTGACTGTTACAATGTGCCATGACAAGATTTCCAAGAAAGCATTCAGATAATGGTTAATGTCCTGCAGTCACAGCAGCAAGTAGGGCCATTCTGAAAGCAGAGCGCAGCTTCAACGACAGCCATTTCCCCCTTGGAAAACAGGATCAAGATGTAGCGGAGGATGAGCGCTGCTTTGCAACGTGATCAACCTACACGGACCAAATAAAAAAAAAAAAAAAAAAGTCTCCCCTTTATGAGGCTTTAAGCAGAGCCTGTGCCGGGGGTGCCGAGCTGACAAAAAGATCACAGTGGAGAGAAGGAATGCATATGACTCGGCTGGACTGGTGTGGTCCGAGAGGAGGTGGAGGCTACATTAGATCTCCCATGCCATCGCCTTCACAAAGGCAGGCTGGTGGCTAGTCCCAAATGAGCCCTGACCCCCTTTCCAAGACCACCACTAACAACAACCGAGGCAGCCTTTGGGAAATTTTGTGTGATTGTGGATGAAGAAGGCGGAGCGGATCATTAATGACTCAAACCTGGTCTTGGCTTTCTCTCATCACATTAGCTTTATACATACATCCTATTCGGATGAACAGTGCATTACACAAAAGTACAAGGGAAAAATACTGGTTTTACACTATACATTTTCTAAAATATATACAGAGTAAAATAAGTTATGTTTCCATAATGAGTTGTAGCCAGTCTGCACTTGTGTGCAATTATATGCATTTGTGTGTGAGCGTATACCAGAATATCCAATATATATCACACAGTCGAGAGTCTCTAAAGGCAGCTACTTATTTGGTTAAAGAGTGAGTTTTGCGTGAAGACCTGTTGAAGGGGACTCTCCTCTCAAAGCAGATCAATAAACAGATATATTTCTCTTTTTACACTCCCTGAAGGCAAACGTCTCCCACAGGGTTACAATTACATGTTAAATATCCTAACATTTACAACCTAGGATGTTAGCTCTAATAAAAAATACATTTCTCAAAAAAATATTCTTGCAGTGCTTTTCTCTTTCAAGCATGCTTTTGAAAACTGTTTTTAAACAAGATTTTTTTCTGTTTGCTTATGAATCTTGACGGTGTGTCCTCACACATACGACGCCTCCTCTGGACCGTCTTACATGCTTTAATGCCATCTATCCTGCCTCGACCCCCGAGGAGGTCACCGGTCGGTATGACAGGCCCATCAGGTCAGATCCAGCAAAGAAAAAAACAAAAAAACAAAAATAAAAAAGATAAAACAAAAAAAAAAAGAAAAAAGTTATCATCCAACTGTGTCCTCTCTGATTCTCTCCCAGTCACACCACCACATGACTTATTGCAACTGAATTTTGCAAGTTGGCTTAGTCTGGGAAAAGATGCTAGCTTTAAGCATTCATACAGGTAATAATATATATTAAGAGTCACAGTTATTCCCACACATCCTTTAGCCCTTTATAGGTGGAGTCTCTCGTCCTCCTCTGAAGCCCCTCACTGTCTACCCTCTCTCTACAGCTGAGGTGAGGTCTGTGTAGAGTTTGGGGGGGGATATTTGTCCAGTCTAGTCCAGGCTTACAGCCTGCAGTACCACAGGTTCACAGTCCAGTGCTGACCATGGTGTTGAGGGGCTGGCAGGCCTGCGCCTGACTCAGAGCCTCACGGATCTGCAGGTTGAGCTCCATAAGGCGGGTGCTAGCCTGAGACAGGTCCCTGCTGGGGCCCACCACCGCCAAGCAGCCCGTCTGGCCCAGCGTCTGGTGACGGAAGTAGATGTGCAGAAGGGTCTGGACTGCATTGTCTGTCTCGTTGCCAAAGATGTCGTTGGGCCACAAAGACCTGTTGGTAAACAAGGGTGTGGGTGAATGAAGGGCTTCAACTAACAATTATTTTTATCATCAATCTGCCTGATGTTTTTTTTTGGTATGAATTTTTTGTCAATATTATGTCAGAAAATACTGAACCATGTCCTGAGTAATTTACCAGAGCCAATGGTGACGTCTTCAAATGATATGTCTCATTGGATCAGTCCAAAAATCCAAAGCTATTCAGTTTATCATCATGTATGATTAAAAAAAGGATAATTCAATCATCAAAATATGTTGACTTGCATAATTGCCTAGAGTTGGTTCGTGTTCTCACATAAAATGCCTTGCGCGAGAAAGCTGCTCTTGATTGGCCAGAATTTCAGCCTCAATTTTAAAGTAAACAAAACGTTGAAGAAGAGTACACTTGCAAGATAAATGTGACACTTTCTAATGTCACAATGGAGGGACAACTACGCAGGTTGATTTTAGCGCTGCTCATCGTGGACTATATTGCTGTCATTGTTCATTTTAGTCAAACCATACAGTTTGAAAACAAGGCGCGGCTCCAACTAGAAAACAATGTTTTGATGCATTCTTTTTTTTGGTATCCATCCAGCATATGCTGCTTTTGGTGAAATACTCAGTTCTTCTTTTTAAATAAGTGGAGTCTGAGCAGAAATACACCTACTTGCAGCTTTTAGATCTCAAGTAAAACAAAGGAAAAGTTGTTGGCAGTTGTGCCTTTCCCATGACTATTACCAACAGTAGATCAATAAACTGAATCAGACTTTGAAGTGTTGCGCCTGAAATGGTTTGTAGGTTTTTGTCTCGTGTAGCCAATGGTGTTAGTCATACTAACAGTAGTAGGTGATTGACAGCAGCTGATGATGGAGCTGCCAAGTGACATCATCAGGATGCAGCCAGCACAGCAGGCTGCTCGTGTTTTCAACTGTACAAGGCAGTGCAGCAGAAACCTAACATAGCAAAGCATTCCATTGCTGCAACTAATGATTTTTTCCACAATCAAGTAGTCTGACAGCAATAGACATTTAACTGTGTGAGCTATTAAAAATTAAAGGTTTGGGTGATACAACGATACAGATTTGGCTACACCGTTTCTAACGAGAGCTATTCAGGGCAGTTTTTGTGCAAAATTAGGGCATAACTCTTGTGTAATCTCATGAATGCAGCTGCCTTGCAAGGCAACTTGAATGGGGCAGACATGGAGGAGGAGAGTTAAGTTGTAAATACAGAAACCTGCAACACTTATGTTCTCAGGAACCTTAAGTTTTGAGTCTTTTGTTTTTAACTCAAGTGTTGTTTCTTGTCAGGCAGCTGTTTTACTGCTTGTAAACATGTTCAATATAAAAAAATAATCACATGTGAAGAAGAACAGTGCGGTCATATTAAAACAACTTCCTAACTGAATTTACAAAACAATGACTGTAACTCCGTTATCATACAAGATTTTGGCCATATTGCCCGCCCTTAAACTCAGATGCATTCAAACTGCAATGAAAGCAGGCACATATAAAAATTTCTGGTGCCATGACTTGATTACTTAACATGATTATTCCTACGTTATTACATTGTCTTTGATTAGATTTTTCTGGTCACTTCAATTTATCAATTTATGGACAAAAAGTTGTTGATCTGTGTCTGTGCTGTGGAATAATAATGTTCCTCTTACCTGAAGATTTTGACCTGTGTGAGCGCAGAGCTGAAGTCTCTGCCTCTCAGGGTTTCAATCAGTGACTGGATGGCTGTCTCTGTGTTTGTCTGGGCAGTGTCTGACATACACACATCCTCCTGACCATCATTTCCTGTTTCTGCCTCCTTCAGACAGCTCTCGAGGATAGTGAGTTCTTCAGACATGTTGGTCACCTTAGAAACAGAGACGACACAAAAACAT